TTCTTCAATCACGCAGCTGCACATAGATTCAAGGAGGAAGTTCATAAACTTCGGTTGTCAAAAATACCTCTCTCCTTACTGTTATTTCCTTGACTACGACTTTCCAGTGTATCTCAACAGTGTTCTGGCTTTTAAATCTTCATTAAGTGTGCAAAGTTGAAAATGAGGGGGGATTTTGATATTTCTTAAACAATGGGAAAAAAGTAACAGAGGCTAGGCTATCGAAGTAATATTTATGAATGTTATCAGTGACGTAATAGGCTTGTGTTATTTGCACAAGGGCTTTTATGACCCCTATTTAGACTGATAAAATCGTTTCTCCCGACGCTTCACGTATAATTTCAATTGCTCGACAGAAATACCCATTGTGGTTTTCTTCGTCTTCAATCCTGTCTTCTAATTTAGCTCTTGAATCAATTCCTTAGATGATCCTCGTAACCGCGACCTAAATTCACATGGCAACGTCAAGTAAAATGGTGCGATGTGTGATTTAAATCTTCACTCCAAGTTTAGTTTATGTAAAGAGAAGCGAGTGTACTTGTAAGCGTTTCTGGAAGAATATCAATTACCCAGCCAGATGGTTTCAAGAAGCTTCTATTCAACGCTGACTGGGCAAAATGTTTTCGAGCATCTTCAAGGTCCCTCTGGCAGTTTTCTGGGGATACTTTGGATATCCTTAACAACTCAAACTTCATTGATCATGAATAGACAAATAATTGATGTGAACTTGAATACTGTTTACTAAATGCAGATTATCACGTAGGTCAACTCTATTGATTTTATTTTCTAACTGAAACAGAATTCGTGAACGATTTTTGTCACGGACGACTGTGTGTTTAGGCCTAAAGTTGCTGATAGTTATTATGACAAAAATATTATTTTAATAGTTGAATCTATGATTTTATGTAAGCCAGACCACTATTGAAAACCTGAATGCAGTGAATGGCCGTTCCGTTCTATTAAAATTACTACAATCTTCATAAACTCCATGATGATAATAATCATCATATGTTCGTTACTGAAGTTCTAGCGTGAAGCCGTGACCCGTGGGGTCCAATCCGGGCTAGAGATAGGACAATATATTGAATATGAATAGAAGATTATGTAACAACACTTAAGAGTGACCACACCTGCAGGGTTGCGCCATGTCGTCCAGCCGATTCGAATCCATTGAATTTTTTTCTTCCCGCCTTCTCCATAGTCGGGCTTTTCTCCGCATCAAATGTTGAATATGTATTTTCCCAGTTGTCTACAATACGTCTATATCTCATGAGAGAAACTCGTTGGTACTTTTGGTGTATACTCAATGTCATACGGAAAGGTTAGATTGCTGAGTTGAGGCGTAAATTTCCTGACTATGATTACATAGACTTTTTAGCGATGCGATCGCTTGTCTGTAGTGGCATTGGAACCTAGTCACACGATCCTTAAAGCTGAAAACTAGATAACTGGGAAAATTCATATCCAACATTTGATGCGGAGAAAAACCCGACTATGGAGAAGGCGGGAAGAAAAAAATTCAATGGATTCGAATCGGCTGGACGGCATGGCGCAACCCTGCAGGTGTGGTCACTCTTAAGTGTTGTTACATAATCTTCTATTCATATTCAATATATTGTTCCATCTCTATCCTAAGTTTGTCCTCCATCATATATTGATAATTGTTACGATGCAATGAGTTGGTGTAGACAATGATGTGACTTATACGTACGATCTCATAGATTAGGTAGTTACGTCATAAAAATCCGCAATCTTAGGATTAAGACTATTATTAAAGTGGTACTAATAACGAGGTAGATCATAATTCTACAAGGCTCTGGTCATGTACTACCTTATTAGAACCATGGACAATGAGGTCATCTTGATAAACTTCAACACCTCCAGGACCACTGATTACATTATTCATCACTTTCTGAAGTGTGGCTGGAGAAGAACGAAGACTGCATATTCGCCTTCCATCCTCTCAATTTAGTTAACAACACCCCCTCCGCAAGAAGGCAGTGAGTAGGACTTCTCTGGCAGTGAATGTGTACGAGCGGCCATGTGAGAGCGTTTTGAGGAGATCGGACTCTTATCACCTTCGGCCGTACCAGGGCACTTGAAGGCTAATACGGATATGGAGTTTGTGGGGACTGTAGTAACTTGAATTCATGGGTCGATATAAGCCAGACCACCATTGGAAACCTGGAAGTAACAGACTTCCTAACATGACACTCCTTAGCAGTGCGCGTCCACAGTTCTGCAGGTGTGATTCAAATCCAGGCCCTTCAATCTCGTACGCAAGCATATCAGCTTTAGACCAGTGAGTCGGCATTCGACAGTGGTAATGTACATTTACATCGATTCATGAATGGCTGTGCAACCATTTACATATCGTAGACCATAATTCTACAGGTTTACTAGCAACATTTTAAGTTACCAAAAAAGCTACGGAAAATGACAAGATATTAGAAAAGTTGAATTTTTATGTCTTACTTTTGTTTACCACCTTAAAGTGGTTTATTTTTTCTTGTATTCTACTAAAAGTAAATTTCAGCGTTAATCCAAGAAAACATAAATAAGTTATACGAACGATCTGTGTCGTGAACACTGTCACTGAATGTTGACGAAAGTGGATTTGCTTACATTCGCCGTAGCTCTAATCTAGATCTGGCTAAACACAAACACACACTGAAACCTCTCAGTATCATTCATGACTTGGGTTTGAGGTATAGCAACAATATGAACTCCTCCAAACATATTGCTTCCCAGGTATCCAAAGCAAGAAATCACATAGAATTTATAATGATAAATTTCAGTAACACGGAATCTAGATTAATATTATCTATAAATGTATCATACTCATCGTTGAATATAGCAGTTTAGTTTATAGTAATTGCAGCGATAATGATTTGATGAAAATTGAAGTTTCCCAAAGAAGATTCACCAAAGCTGCTTAGGAGCATTATCATCAACTGAAGTTAGAGTCTCTGAATCAGGCGCATTAAACCAAACCTTGCCTTTATCTAATGGCTCATAAATGGCATTTTTTAAATCTTTAGCATCCACCCCTCCGTACTCCATTACATCATACCACAAACTGAGCAATAAAGAGCATACTCTATTGATTCGGTGAACCTATAAAACATTTCGCCAAAGTTTATTTGTCAGACGTTATTCAACCATGTGGAGCAGACTCCCAGTAAGCCTTCGCTGCAGGAAAACTATAACCCCGTTCAAGATTCTCCTTGATGACTTTCTCCGGTGGTTTGCGTCACCTATTAAATACTATTACGATGACTAGAATGTGATAAAGCAGAGATATTACTTTATATATGTTTTGTCTTCTTATAATAAACCCTAACCTCGTTTTTGTTTTGCTGTCCGCTTACGAAATAGAATTTTATGGGCAATAATTGCAATGAGTCACTCAGCAATATGAGAATGGTGACCAAAAACATAAGCATGTGACATACTATATACAAGACTACCTTATTAGAACTACTTATTTCCTGAGGAATTCGATGCGGTGCATCCCTCTAGGACAGAACACTGTCCATACATTTCCTGAGATGCCTTTCTGTCAAGTATCTAATTCTCAAAGTTCTAATCGCCCAGTGACCTGTAGTTGGTGTTGCCGTACTTAGTGACTGTACCTGCTTAAGAAAGTACTGCTACGGTATATTCTGTTTAGTTTGTACTTATATTTACCCATTTCGCACCATAAGCTCACAATATTTTGTGCAATTTGTGAGTTACAAAGCAAAAATGGCAACCATCAACCAACTTCCTGTATATTTGAACTGAGTTATGTCAATGAACAATATTTCATTCGGCATGACACTAATCTATTTGAGGTAGGATATTCTTGTATCAAATTAACGTGAACCATGCTCAGCATGACAAGCAGAATGTGATTTGTCATATCTCTGGGTATTTTTAATGTGTGATTTCATAATAATTAGTAATCGAATGGGGTGTACTTTCAACTACGGTCGTCATCTAGTGGAGCAAAGAAATCTATATTTGTATCAGTATTGTTGTTGTTATTTCGCGTGATGATTGCAGTGGTTCCTTGTTTTTTCAGATATAAGCGACGAGAATATAAATCTCGTGGACTTCGACTAATGAACCGTGAGTGACAAGCAAATTCTAGTTGCACACACATCTTTTATACCACGCCGCAGTGTAATACGAATATGAGGGGTCTTCTTAGTGGGGTGGTTTAAAGCGCTTAACTGCACAGATCAGTTGTTCTTCTTCCTTGGTAGCGACTTTCGTATTTCCATGACACTATGAACTAAGCTTCTGCAGTAAGCTGCGAACTAATTCAGTGTGATATTCGTTTGCATCGTCACTATACTGGCTATAGGTTAATCTGTTTAATAGAGTCCCAATTCGTAGTAATTCAATTTCAAATATTAATCAATGTGAATTGATGAACATAGTGAGACATTACTTCCAAACTAACATTCGAGCGAGCAATTAACCTTGACCAACCATTTTATCTCTTGCGTCTAGTTGTAGAATTATGTTAAAATGGACATATTGAATCTATTTGTTTACTAACTGCTAGCCTTAATCCTAATTTACAGTTAATTGGGAGAGTACAATTGCCTAGAGATACATAGTAGCACATTAAAGCTACACCATCTAGTGACTTGAAAGCCTCCCCACCCTAATATGGTGACAATGGTAAATTGTCGCAGCACAAATATATAAAATTGTTTACAAGAAATATACAAAACAAATGAAATGCTCCTCAAATTTCAACGAAAATTAGAACATTTACAAAATATAGTGAAATCCGCAGTGTTATTTTATTCCAGTAAAGAGTTATTACTGAATAAAATAAATTTTGAACCCCAATGGAACTATATTACATTTTAGAGTCTTTTTCTCTTTGAAAAACGAATGCTAATCTTGATCAAATAATAATATTAGCACAGTTATAATATACGCAATGGTTAAGTAATTATTATTTACATGGAAGTCCTTTATCATTCTTCTCTTAAGAATCATCATTGAAATTCGTGCTTCTTTAAACAGGAATTGTAGTGTTCACCGAGCGCGAACGCGTAACGGTGGTATCTGAAAGTTAGGATTTTTTAATGCGAAAAAATACAGAAAAATTGGGTAAACAAGAAAGCAGATCAAAAGTCAATTGTACGAGACTGTTTTTCACAGCCTTATCAACTTGTCTTGTTTATCTAATACTCAATCCTACCTAAATGACAGATCCTAAGATTACGCAAATAATGCTAGGCAAAAATAGTGAATCGGCTAGTGAGGTTGTATTTTTTCATTGACTGAGGTGGTTTGAACAAGAGTTACGTATGCCCAAACATTGCATAACCGGTCAAGGGTAAAGAAGGCAGGACAATCAGTCAGTCAGCTACAACGTAGGCAGGCCAATCACCGAAATTCAACAACAGCGTAACAGATGGGTAGAATACTTCGAGGAACTTCTGAATAGGCCGGCTCCAATGAATCCACCGGACATCGAAACAGCACACACAGATCTTCATATAGATGTCAATCCACCAACGACGGAAGAAATCAGAATGGCCACCAGACAAATCAAGGGCGGGAAAGCAGCAGGGCCCGACAATATACCAGCTGAAGCACTGAAGTTAGACACCGAAGTAAATACAAACATGCCTCACCTTCTATTCAAGGATATTTGAGAGGAGGAACAAGTGCCGATGGACTGGAAAGAGGGACACCTCATCAATATTCCAAAGAAAGGAGATTTGAACAAATGTGAAAACTACAGAGGCATTACAATATTGTCAGTACCTGTGAAAGTCTTTAACAGTGTTGCTGAACCAGATGAAAGACACAGTAGACGCCCAACTTCGAAATCAGCAGGCTAGATTCCGTGAGGATCGCTAGTGTACAGACCAAATCACGACACCACGGATCATCGTCGAACAATCAATTGAGTGGAACTCGCCACTATACATCAACTTCATTGATTATGAAAAGGCATTTGACAGTGTAGATAGGAGAACATTATGGAAACTTCTTTGACACTATGGAGTATCTGAGATCGTCAATATCATCCGGAATTCATACAACGGACTACAGTGCAAAGTAGTGCACGGAGGACAGCTGAAAGATGCATTCCAAGTAAGGACCAGAGTCAGACAAGGCTGTCTACTCTCTCCCTTCCTCTTTCTTCTGGTGGTCGACTGGATTATAAAGACATCGATATCCGAAGGAAAACACGACATACAATGGACAGCTCAGGACCAATTAGACGATTTGGACTTCGCAGATGACCTATCCCTCCTGTCGCATACACACGAACAAATGCAGATAAAGACAGCCAGTCGAGCAGCAGTCTCTGCATCAGTAGGCCTCAGCATACATGAGGAAAAAAGCAAGATCCCCAAATACAACACGGAGAACACCAATCCAATCACTCTTGATGGCGAAACTCTAGATGTGGAATCCTTCACATACCTGGGAAGCACCATCGATGAACAAGGAGGATCCGATGCAGACGTAAAGGCGAGGATTGGCAAAGCAAGGGTCGCATTCCTACAATGGAGAACATATGGAACTCAAAACAACTTTCAACCAATATCTTCAATACCATCGTCAAGCCAGTCAGTTCTACTGTACGGAGCTGAAATCTGGAGAACTACAACAACCATCATCAAGAAGGTACAAGTATTTATAAATAGTTGTCTACGCAAGATACTCAACAGCCACTGGCCGAATACCATCAGCAACAGCCTTCTGTGGGAGAGAACAAACCAGCTTCTAGCTGAAGAGGAAATTAGGAAAAGACGATGGAAATGGATAGGACATACATTACGCAAATCATCAGACTGCATCACGAGGCAAGCCCTAACGTGGAATCCTGAAGGGAATCGGAAAAGAGGAAGGCCAAAGAACACATTACGTCGGCAAATCGAAGCAGATATGAAAAGGATGAATTACAACTGGAAAGAGCTGGAAAGGATTGCCTAGGACAGAGTTGGATGGAGAATGCTGGTGAGCGGTCTATGCTCTTTTACGAGTAACAGGCGTAAGTAGGTAGGTAAACATTGCATACTTCGACGGAGGATGTTTATTGGTGTAAAAGTAAGTTGGGAGGAAGTTTAGGGTGGTTGAATTAGTCTCTGAAATCATTGGCTGATGATGTGATCAACGTTGACAGTGAAAACTATCTGGTTTGACTTCATTTGATAACCGTGACAAGTGGTTGGAGATATTGAGTGATACGGTTCGAAATATGTCACAACGGCTCTATGTTGATCAAAACTGAATGACTTCTTCAATCATAATTATATACATATATATATAAAGCAAACGAATAATAATACTGACATTCTAAGAAAATGAAAAATGATTAGTATCTGTACTTTAATAAACTTACACAATAGTGATTGGTGGCTTTTCAGAAAACTCTTCTCCAATAATTAATGGGACTCCTTCAGCTTGTAATATTTCAATAGGAAGTTGAAGCATTGTAGATAAGGCGCGGATCTGCTAAATAAAACGTGAACGAAAAGTGAAAATACAACGAAAACAGTCGATATGATACCGAAGAATCAAGACTAACAATTAGGTCATTAGTTTATTGTTATGTTTGAGTTTTAGTTACTAAGTTCCCTGTTTTAATGCCTTTCCAACTACTTCAATTTTGAGCGATCGCGTAGTTTTATTATCCGTTACATTTAGTGTGGCTGATACCAAAGTACATAGAGAATAAGTCAATTTAATACCCTACTTTTAGCGATTGTAACTGAATGAATGCTCTGAAAATCCCTCTAAAGCGATTTGTTTGACAGCACTGTTATTTTTCTAGTTTCTCTCTCTGCTTTGTATTTTAACTTTTATCCAGGACTCATGTAACCATATTTTCACACTTTTCAATCCTTTTTGATCATATATATATAATTGCTTAGTGGAGCAGATTGTGGAGACTACTTTAATTACAAAAATTTATTATTTTATTTGAACACATAAATATTGGTACAACAGGGCACCAAATATGTAAGCGCCACACAAAACAATGAGAATGGGAAGAGAAAAAAAAGATGGTAGGGAGCTTTCATCGCAAAATAATACTACTTAGAGAAGCATGAAAACAAAGTAGGGCTGGACAGTCGTTTCGTCCTAATGTGATCACCCACTATCCCAATACGGGAATGAACGAAAACCTTTATTTCGTGGTATGATACATCTATACCATAGACTGAAAATTTGATGATTCACATTTCTAATGTCAACGAACTCTACATGATAAATGGAGGTCCAGGGTTCGAACTAGTGCGGGGTAAAGGGAGATTATTTATGAAGAGCCGTAGCCTAATGCAAAAATCTATGTCTAGCACTATATAGCTTTCAGAAGTCCAGTTCATGACGAAGACTATCTTTAATCTTAAGTAATCACTTTGTAAAACAATAATCCATATTCAAAATGGAAATAAATTTTTAACCATAGAGAGTGAATGGAATGTGACTGCTAAGTTATTTACAATAGCATAGTGAATAATAGTGTTACATATCAGTAAATAGCAGACTCATTGGAAGAACATGTATACAACCTTAAGGAAACGGATGCATCTTCTATAAAATATAAACAATCACAAGTCAACCTTGTAAAAATACACATTATAAACAAATTAGTTACTAAATTACAAGTGATCTGAGAGACACATGTGTAACGAAATCTTAGAGGAAATTATTACTCAATACAAACAACATATAAGAAGGGTAAATTAAATACAATTTGACAGTAGATTATCTGACAAATAAACACAACATTAATTTCTCAAATCAACAAGAACAAAACATGAGTCAATAGACAAAAAATATGAAAAGAGCACTATTACTAACTTCAATTTGTCCACCCCACGTTGATGTTTTTTCTATATTGTCACAATATTGTTCAAAATTAGCTTCAAATAAGAGGAAAGTGAAATTGTCAAAAATTTCTTACAATTTTATTCAATATATTTACGATTCAAAATGAATATTTTCAAGTTTAATCATAATTTCAAGAAACTCTTACAACTATTGTTGATTGTTAAAGATGAAAATTTTACTTCATTAGGACTGCAGAGATTAAATAAATTCACTGTAATATAGATCATAAACATACAGTTAAAAAGCGTTAGCTGACAACCGTTTATAACTTATAACCAATCTGGATAAGTTAGTGGGTTAGAATACAGACATGTTTTACATACCGATGCAGAAAATCAGTGCTTGCGCTAGTATATGAGAGAACTGTAAAAGATGAGACGAGATTAAACTTGGACATGGCGTCAGTTTAGGCAGTCAGTATATAAGATAGTCTAAGTCATCTTAGTGGTTGAAACTTTCATGGTTAGAAGTAAATGAAATAATTATTATATATGATTAAAGGCGTGGGTGACATGGTTTTTCAAGACCAAATGATGTATCACAGTTGTATTTAATACACTGTCTTCCTCTTAATAGATCTTGAACATATTATGTTTCCTCTGTGATTTAATGAGCGTCTTTGCAAACTAAAGCTTTTTTTACTGAAATTAGCTTTCAGCATATTATTAGTTCACATTATGACGATGATATTACCATTTCTTCACACTTGAATATCATCATAGCGTTAATTTTGTCTTGATTAGCTAATGAATCATTGATTGAAGATGCATAGTTATTTAAATTAACTCTTTTATACTTTAAGATATCTAGCTAATAACTTTGTTGGAGTTAGCTGAATTAATTTATCAGTTTTTTCAGGTGAATATACTATATATCAAAAGATGGAAATGTCCATAGTGAAAAAAGTAACTGGGAGTAATTACCGCAACTCAACAATTAAAGTTATAAAGTAATATACTCAGATTGGATTAAAGCAAAAACAACAAAAATAGTAGAATTATATGAATTCATTTTCATCCCATGGGTTCTCTTTAGCTGATTAAAATCTAGAAACAGCATTAATATTTTAATGTAATGGTTGCTTAAATCTTCGCATTGGTGATGTCGAGAATCACAATTAATTTGTCTCGTTCGACATATGTGCGTAATGCCTCGATATTGCCATTAAATCACAACCACTAGGAGCACACGAGTCCTATATTGAACGAAAGGAGCATCTTGGATACCACTGCTAGCCACCAATCAACTCATCGTAAAATCTTCGTGACTTAATGGTAAGATAAGGGCAATGTGCATAGAATCCACATTTGCCAAAGACATTAAACAACTGCAATCCTCGAAATCGATTAGAAGATTCGAACAAACAATACATACAAGTTGAAATTCGTCCCAATAGACAAACCAGTGGCTAAGTGGATAACGCGACGGTATTTGAAGTGAACGATAATTGGTTTGAGTCCCGATGTGAACAGCAACATTGAGGTGACCCCATATTCGGCTGGGTTACAAAAAGGATAAAACATGTCCTGTATTTCATTGCTACCCATTACCATACTCTGTTTATTATTAATATTTATCAAAAATCAGTGTACATTATTTCTAACGTTTAAATGAAGATTGGTAAAAAGGACAACAAATATGAAGAACTATAAAATATTCAAATAGTTGAATATTTATGATATTTACTAGTGAGTTCAGCTTCGAAATTTAATTGCATAATATTGTATATATATACTTTTTAATTTCTAGATTGTTCTTTAAAGTTCTTTTCACTTTACTCTATAAACCTATCGATTTTAAGTTTCTGTTACGCACTCTTCATTTCCTAGAACGTTGTTTCCATGTATTTTCAACATTTCCTTCAACAATTTTCACACTAGTTAACATACAGATATCAAACCACTTAACAACTTTCATAACTCTTCCTTAAGTACTGTGGTTATTTTACCAATTTTCATTAATATAATACATTGGTATTGGTTTCAAATGATTATTACTGTTATTTCTAATATGTAAGCAAGTGAACAAAGTCCGCATCACAAATAAATTCATATTAACCAGGCACATTTGTTGTTTTGCCTTATCCGAATTCATCAATGGAAAGAACTGCATGAAATTACTCAGATTTGAGCCAAAAAGTAGTTTATCGGGCTGACTGGTTCACTTATCTTGAAAGTTTCATCAGCCCTGATGTGGTGTTGTGCAACGAAATCTCGGCATGAGTTCAGAAAGCGAGATATTTGTATACCAACTAAAGAATGAGTTTATTGTGCAGCAGTTCACTCTACTCTACTTTATGGGTGTGAAACATAGAAGTTAAGAATAGAGGATATTTACAGGTTACTATTTTCGATCATACATGTCTTTGAAGTATTGCTTGTGTATTTTAATAAAACCGAGTGAGTTATGGTGAAGTTAGGCATAGGGTCAGTCAGTCTTGAGTGGTGATATAGGTGTGAGGGCGGTTACCACTTCCTGGTTGCCCACACAGCGGAAGGGTTCTTATAGAGGTATCTGTTAAGGAAATTCGTTTAGAGGTGGTCTTAGTGACCTGAGAGCGTGACTGCAATACCTAAGGGAAATTGCTTGAGGCCAGTCACACACGACTTTTTTGCGAGCAATTTTAGTGTATTTGTTGGGACCTTACCGACGGATACAGAAATCTGTGGGATAAGGCGAGGTGCGCATTTTTAGGGTTGACCTCTTCTAACCTCACCCTTCCTTGTGGGAAGGCAGTATCGCTGTCATGCTGGTCGTCTGAAGGAAACACTTTGCTGACGTCACACCTCTGTACAGTCAGTAGTACGACTTCGCCCTCAGACCTTGGTTGAGCTGCCGACCTATCTGGCATGGTAGGACCTTGAAGAATGATTGTTCCAGCCAGTATAACCCGAGTGGTTCATAACGATAGTCAAGCCCGACTACTACGTCAAGGTAGTAGCAACGGTCAGGATAGCATAGGGTAATAAGTAAAGATAAAAATGGGTACATGATAGAGACTTTGAGACGTTTTGCTGCTCTTCCTCGCTTTCTCATAATCTCTTCAAACTACACTAATATTTAGGTGACTTGTTTCAGTCAGTCAGTCGACAACGTAGAACTCCGTACGTACGTACATCGGTTCGAGCTGCCATACCACATTAACACGCAGATACAACTGTAGATTCGAATCCCGTAGTAGTAGAGGTAGTAAAAGTAAAAGCAGTAATCGGAACGATTAGGGTCGGTCGCAGCCCGGATAGCTCAGTGGTAACGTCTCTGACTGTGAAGCTGGGTGACACGGGATCGAATCCGTAAGGGAGCATCAGTTCCCTCAAGATTATAGGTACATCTTGCTGACGAGTGCCAAGTAACACGAAACCCGGGTCCACGGAACCAGTCTTCCAACTCCCCCACGTGGGTCCCCCATATCCAACAACCCAATTAGAACGTCGGATATTCGCTTTCGTCATCTCAATTTCGAAAACAACACCCCGCCACGAGAAGGCAGTTAGTAGGACTTCCCTGGCAGAGGCTATATATGCGTGGCCATGTGAGAGCATTTCGAGAGGGAGAGCGGACTCTCCCCACTCTCGGCCATACCAGGGCATTTGGGGGCAGTTACAATTTAGACCAGACAAGTAATATAACAACTAGCTTTATTTCAAAGATATAGCCCTAAGACAGAACAAACGATTCTGGGCAGTGACAACAGTCAAATAAAGAGAATCTCAATCTTGAGTGACACGAAAGAATTCACAAACTACAGGATCATGTTAAATATGATAGTGTTTTAAAATACCCAAATCGATACAAGACTGTAAGGTTTTGGCATAATTAAAAAAAAATAATTTGTAATGAATTAAATTAATTAGTACACATTTAAATAAATATATACGACTGAGATGATAAATTAGCTTTTCCCGATTTTAGTGAGTACTAGAATAGGGGACAGAAATAAATCAACATATAAAGTTGTAGTTTTCAAACCATACAACGAAATTTAGTCCATCAATACAACAGAGTACAAGGTAATTAATGCATTCAGTTGATCATTCAAATAATTCAGTAAGTTTTTATCGCTGAGTTTTTCTGCGATTTTCACTAATTATGTCGTACTTCGAGTATTCGGTCGATTCTCTACTCGGTTGTTAGGTGGTTGCTAGATATTAGTGTGATTTTCAGCACATATTACACTTTTAGCCCTAATATTTACTATATTTGCGTTTTTAAATGAGATGTCACGTTACACTAAGCTCAACACGTTCATAGTAGACAGGTTATGATTTTTACTTATCCCTTTGACCAATAAAAAAGTTAATATCCGTTATCACTCACTCAACCAGTCATATCGTGTACAGTGCAACAAATAAAAGTCTCCTGGGGGTTATACGACTACGTGTGAAGTTGTGAATAAGGGAATGTGAAGGTAAACAGCGATTCAGTGCTAATTTATTTTCAACAGGTCCACAGTTGATGGGACCTACCTTTTAAGCTAAATAAGTCGTAATAACTGAATTATATTTTAAGAAGGAACTTTGTTGAGAAATATGTGCATGAAATTACGACAATCAATTAAACTAGAATACCTATACTCATTGGCTCTCCAGAATCTGGGTTGAACAAAAATGGTAGGAAATCATCCATATTTTTGCGAATGTGATACGATGCAAGATGACGCAAAATTTTCACTACTTGTTTCATTGTCAGATCGGTAGTAATATCATTAAGAATTTCTGGATTAGACATTTCAATCTCTCCTATTAATGTGTGTAATGGATAATTCCGAATTTTTAATTGATGCCCAATTGACTGATAAAGGCAATCTCCATCTGAAGGAACCTCACAATAAATAATATAAAGAAAGAACAGTAAAAGAATGATTGGTAGAAGTTATAACGACTGTTTCTGTCTTATTTAGATATTAATGAAGCGCGTACGTCTCTGTAAACAAATTACAGGAGTTGACCAGTAAATATTGGGGTGCTTACATTGCACTAATATCTGTTTACCCGGTTTTAAGTAAGACATTTTGTCTGAGCTAATGATACAAACCTGTTGAAGAAGGTTTGGGACCTGAGAAAGTCAAGTGCTTTAATCAATAGGTCACCATACACATAGGTTACTACAAACTATACTTATTTTATGACATCTATCTATGATCATCGTTTAGAAAAATACGTTATATTTACTAATACTGAAATCTTCAATGTGTCCGTCTTCATTTGAGTAGGTCTGCTTGTATCCCGATGAAAATTAGGAGGCATGATACATGTACAAGTCTTTTCAATAGATTAGTCAACAATCTTGTCCTCAAATTCCAGGAGTAACTTAAAAAACACCAAGTCCGTAGTTACAATTCAAATCAGGAATTCGTCAGAAACGTCTGTAACAAAACATACCTGTGGCTTTTTCTGTTATTTACTATGGATCACGAAGTACATTTCAAATAACTTGTGCTTGTCAAGAATAAATCCCTATACACTCAAATTTTCTAATACCATAAAATGATTGGGTATGAGTATTTCAACATGCCATAAAACTACTTGCGAATATATCTATTATGATACTTATGTGGGATTCATTTGTTAAACTTATTTCGTAAAAAAAAATCAAAATGGAAGAATCATCAATGGCATAGTCTCTGTGAAAAATTCACCCAGAAGACAGATATAATTTTTTGTAACAACACAACTAGCTGCTCAGAGGAATCTAAAAAATACCGGATAGTTACAATAGATATGATGTAAGCAATAGATACACTTACATGCAACAAAAACAACCACAAATCAACCGATATTTCGAATGCAAAACAATGACAGTCACAGAGGATTGAGGTAGTGAACATCCAAAATGTAATGAGAATTTATCAAACCGAATATGAACTAACAATTATGGAACAATAAAACTAAAGGCACATAAGATGGGTTTGAATTTGTGAAAAGATAAGGCTTCTATAAACCTGAGAATTCATCCTTGACAATTTCTATACAAAAGCCGTATTAATGTAAATCCTAAGTGCCGTTTCAATTGTATACTTTTGTAACGATGAACATTGTTTTCTACTTACCACGTTTACCGGAACATTTGACATGAACTGATTTTGAAGCCATCTAGGTACAATTTCCATAACCTTTGATCGCAATATTCGATTACTCTCCCCTATATATGTGTCCACACAAAAATGTAAATTAGTAAGTGCAATGGGATGTGACGTGATCGTTCGTGCAGCGTCTAGGTCCATTTAAAATCACGGGCTTAGTCACTTCAATCACAACCAATTTAGCAGCGTAATGTTTTTAATGGCTGCTTTTAGTCAGTTTGTAAATCACCTTGCTAGATCCACCTTTAAGTGGTAGAGAAGTATAAGCATTTTTCTTTGCAGCGGAATTAAAGGGGTTTTGGTGTTAACAGAATTTTGCACCTATTTATGAAATTTAGTGGGTAACCGTTTGGTATGTGTGTTGGTCAGCAGTTTTGTATCTTCTTCAAACGATTATACGTGGTTTATATTGTTTGAGTCCTGTCAAAAAAGGCGCTTTATCAAACCTCGCTTATGTTGCAATAGACAGAAACTGGAAATTTAAACATCGACCAGGTCGGGTTGGCTACTTATAAACTAACTGCCTTTTTGTTTCATCCACCCATCAATTCAAGAGCATGTCCGAGAAGAGTATTCGGTTATTACTTTCTTCCGCTTATGTTAGTACGATATTATTCGATACGTTATTGAGTTTATTTAATAACTGAACAACAACAAAACCTTTATCACATATAACGAAGATTTCATTCATGTGTTTCCAAAACAGAGTTTGGCTAATTTCAGAAAGCACTTTAAATACTTAAGCCTTGACAGATTATATCATCAAGATCGACTAAAAACCGACCGAATTCTGGTTGTGTTCCCTTAGGTGCTTCACATGTCTTGAAGCCGTATAGTTCTATAATTCACCACAAATAAATTAGCAAGCCTCATGGTGATGTAAATAACCACAAGTATACTAAACGTGTAATTTGTTCACATCTTTGTAAAAAAGCTTACTTCAAATAAACATAGGTGACGGGCTGAAAGTTCTTTTTCTAACTTTTTCATTTCAACAGATCGAAGACTATTAGATCTATCTGTTTGTATATTCATTAAAGCAGCTGTCTGTTGAGCATGTTGAAGAGCAGCTCGTTTTTCACGACGACGAGCTGCTTTACTAACTTTTTGTGTCGAAACAAGTTTATCTGAAGGATCCATTAGAGTATTTTGCAGATATTACCTTGAGTGCAAATATTATCCATATTCTCCGGAGACATTTTTTTTTCTAAATAACCACAAGTTGCAGATTTTTTCGTAAATGGCTCCAAACTAACAGATGGATTTAGATGACTCCAAGTTTTGTAATTAAAAATGGATCTAGATCACAACTGAAAGAACTAAAATACAAGCTAAAATTACGAATATCTCCGAGGAGAGAATTGGAAACTTTTGAAGGTATGAAACTGGTTGTGATGGTTATATGAGGCAAACGGCAGAAACAATTAATTCTCATGGAAGATTTCTTTTAATTGAAGACATGTCTGAGACAGAATAGTAAAATGGTGAATGAAAGTGACAACAACACATCACTTCATAGCTCAGAATAACATAACATCAACATAAAGCGTAAACAAGAAGAAATGTCCTTTTTTTACACCTTACGTCGGTTATTTGAGAGAAATTAGTAGAAAATCGTAAGTGATGCAGCCTGTTCGAATATGCCGCTTACTTCAAATTGTTCAAATGGGTCAATCGGTTGTGGACGAAATGGAAGGAGCTTTCACTTAACGGGCTTCCGTATCTAGTAGCATAGGGTCACCAATAACTCAGGGCAGGAATCTAGGTATATTAAAGAGAAAAGAAGAAAAAGATATTGGTAAATCATAGTAAGATTTTATCCTTAGTCCTTAAGAGTATGTCAAGTGTTCTTTTGAAGGACTCCTAGGAAGTCATTTGAACTAACTCAGCCGGCAGCAAATTCCAGAAGTTGACAACTCTTAAAGAGTAGAAGTCATGTCTACAAGCCATTCTGCTGAGTTGTATTTCCAGTTTCTGGGTGTTACTCCCAAACGTTGGCATTGGAGTTAAACTTAAGTAGGTGTTTCAGGGGATGTCCAGAAGTGTTAAGGATACTGTTAGCAATTAAAAGGTCAGCTCTATGACTCCTGTACCTCAACAGGTAGAGACTTAGTGATTGAAGGCGCTCTTCATAAGGCTTGAATTTGAGTCCCCGAACTGATTTCGTAGCTCGCCGTTGGGTACATTTCAGAATGTCCTTATCATTCTGGAGTGAGGGAGAAATTACTATGTTTCCGCATTGTAAATGGGGACGAATGGAACTGTTGAAGGCTATGTGGAAAGTTCTACCGTCGAACTGGCCAAAATGAGCTTCAATGTTACCAGTGCAAGGTTTGCTCGAAAGGCATTTTTGTCACAGTTAATGTAAGATGTAAAATCATGGGGTACCAGCCTTCAAAATCTTTTTCAACTCGTGATACTTCTAAATGGGAGTTGTCTAAGTTGTAGCTGTAGTCTGCAACATGTCTCAGATGGGCTTCTTTACACTTTGAAGTGTTTAAGGTAGGTCCAATGTACGTATGTTCCACTAAACTGACTTTAGGAAGACTGAATTCCCTTATAGTCGGGATATGAGTGAATCCGAGACGAGTAGAGCGGGATGATCTTTCCAGCATACTATTGTCGTACTTGATATCAGCTGTAGGTTTTCTGTAGCTGACTCCAATTAGACACCTTGATGTGGTAGAGAATACGAATTCATCAAGATTGATAAACTCTTGGTTATGCATTTGATGTACCTCCAGGCAAGATCATAAATATAAGGCTACTCCATTTCCGATTCCTGTTTTTATGTCACTGCGAAACAAAGACATACCGGGTATTGCTAGCTCTTGGTCCGTAAACTTAGATGTTCCTATCAGATGAGTATTATTAGTACTACTGAGTTCACGCAGCTTAACCATTTTATTCGGTAAACTCGCGATGTTAATGCATAAGCAGTTTATGGTTTCAATTTGAAACACATGAACTTCCCCATCCTGTTTATCTGTATGACCCTTGTGTGAATAGACATGTAACCTACCTACATAAGGTTTTCCAAAATGGAAGCAACATTGTTTTCTGCGTTTTTATGACCTGAGCAGTCCACAAGTGGAATAGTTGGCCCCAACTGACCTTTGTGCTCTATCCTGGTGTCGTGTGGCCTACCCGGATGTATATAAACATCAGGTGGCAACCGGTGCATGTTGGCATGAAATGCAACCCTAATGTCTGAGGATGGGAAGGAAATCTTCATCGGCCGGGGTCTGTGGAAAACAACATTTTGTTTAGGAACAGTAGCAAAACAACAATATTTATACACTAGAAAGTTTTGAAATTTAAACATCAAGAATTTTTTATTTGCTTGTTAGCAGTGTTAATGTATGCTTGGTGGCAGTCACAAATAGCTTGCTGCATGTAAGTAAATTGCATGATCTTTGCGTTTTCATTCACTATCAATTAATACCTCCTTTGTTCTATAAGATGAGTTTGGTAAAAGTATATGAGAAAGTTCGTAGACTTAGGACAACAGTGAAATTACCAAGCCCCTCGATTGTAAGAGGTCGACATATAACACAAAGGTCAAAAAAATGCGAGCAATACTCCTGAAAAATACATAACTTGCTTTCATCCAGTCAACTTTCTAACGAAAGCCCGATATTCAACAATTCAATTTAGCAGTAATTTACTTTGTATTAATAGCAGCAAAAACTAAAAACAACTGCAATGAGAATATATACTCCATAAAATGAATAATGATGGTATGTGAAAGAAGTGAAATCGCTAATTCATTTCTTCAAAGGAGTAATGACGTTGAACTATGTCTACAAAAATTCATATACCGGGAGGAACAAATTAGCATGGCGTTGAAGAAATTTATGACAAACTGTTTTCAGACCATCAGAGATGATGACTGCACTTCAAGTGCTTTTCGATATCTGATATCGGACTTACCAAAAAACACCAAGCGTGTCCTACGAACTTGAAAAAGCGTTAAATCCAAGTCCATCAACGGTGGTACTCGTAACCAACTAGGATTGAAGACCAATGTGCTCAGATATGTTGAATCTTGGTTTAATACCTTTGCTTTTGATACATTTAATGACGCCGTAAGTATACGGAGATTGACAACACCTTTGCCCGATACGTTTTTTATAATCGAAGTATGCCAGCCCAGTCAAATCAGAAGTCCGAAATGAAGGAGTTCGAAGATATATTTCAAAGGCTGACGGTATGTGGAGGAAGATTTGGTCCAAGCTGGCCAGATGTTGCAAGGGATGTTTAGCATGGCATCACTTGTGACCTGGTGCGGATGCTTGATCGGATACCTTCAGTTAGGTGAGTCTAGTAACACTAATGCAGTCAGTATTTAATGTCGAAGTCCTACAGAGTTATTGTATATGGGGATTATTTACCTCTACAAATCACTCCCTCCACAGTGAGGCTGTGATGACCCAAAGACATAACCATTCAAAAGTTCGAACCCCATGTTTTGTCGTTCATAAACACTATTCTGATAGCTTGCTATGTTCAAGAGCGTTTAGTCGTCTCTCAGTAATATAAGGACAAAGTGGTACAATATAATAATGAAAAACAGGTACAATAAAATTTCGATATATCCTTAACGTCGTCGATTTTTTCATGATCTCTAGCCGTCCTGGAACAGAGAAAGGATGTGTGAGTACGTGTCAGATTGCACGCCTACGTGCAAAAGGACATAAACGGGAGAAAAAGGAACGGTACTTACTGGGTTTCCGTCTCCGAAGTGACATCAACTGTGGGATGCACGGATATTCGCTGATGAATCCCGGACACGAATGAAACGCGTCATGGATTCTACTTTAGCCATATTCTATCTATTTACATCTATCTGATACGACCGGAATCAATTCCAATGATTTCGCTGCAAATCAGGAAACTCTATATGGACATGAGCAATTCACTGCTCAAAATATACCCATTAAAACATCAATCATACAACTTTAAGGAAAGTTCAATAAACGCCATTAGCGGAAGACAGCGTTAAACTGAGACCCAAGTTACCAAACTTCTATTCATCGAATACGGAGAAAACTGATGAGAGGATGAAAAATAAAGCTTAGATGATAATATCGATAATGATTTCAAAAAATTAACCTAAGAAATATCGTCCAAATAGTCAGATCATAGAATAAGAATTATGACGTAGTGGTATACTAATGGTCTGGAAGCAAAACAAACGGACAAACCTGGGTTGCTGTGACAACTTTTCAGCCATGTGACAATGGTTCGAATCACTAATTATGTTCATCGCCCAGGTGCAAATCAGCAAGTCTGTGGCTCTTACTGATGCGGCACAATCCAACAGTCCATTACTTCTTGAACTGTGGTTTGGGTGCTCGCAGCGTTCTTGCAACCTGCTACTATGATGGCCAACATAGTATAATGGGATAGGTGGTAACTGAGCACCTGCATAAAAACATGTTCATGTGCTATTCTTTCATCCGTCCAGACAAACCTAGAGGATTCCTTTCTAAAAGTATCATCAACATGTACAAACATTTAAAGTAAACACTGACCGCAATACCAAAAAAAGCATGTTAAACACTGTAGACTTACCAGCAAGAACATGTACACACTTTCCACTATTCATATGCCAAACTCGTATTGTTTCATCGGCATTACTTGACACAAGAATATTTTGTTCAGACCCAAATGCTAATTCACTTGTTAATGAACGATGACCATAGAAAGTTTGTTTCAATTCACCAGTATATGCATTCCATATACGTATAGTCGTATCCAATGAACCACTGATAATATGATAACCATCAAATAATAATGTGTAAACACGATTTGTATGTGCACTGAAAACACGTAGACAATGACCTTGTAATGCACACCATAAACGAATTGTACAATCATAGCTACCTGAAACAATTTGATCACCAGTAAACTGAACACAACGTATTGCTCCACGATGACCTTGAGTTGAAGCAAGGGCAAATGTAAAACACTTTCTACATTTAGTTCTCGTTTTTCATTTTAATTGATGCAGTATATTATTAATTAATATTATTTTATAGTTTACCTTTAGGTGCTTACAACTGTACTCTTATTGAAATACAAAATAATTTGAAATTAATTGACGGAAGAAAATATGGAAATGCCAACTATTATACATATAACATATAGATATGTAAAAAACCATGGGTAAGGTCTTCCGAAGATGGGAATCAGAAACATAAAGAAAATGAGGAGTAAATACTTGCAATCGGAAAAATAATAAGATGGATTACGTAATAACCAATGTGTGGGTGGAAATGATAATGATTGGTTGTCTGCTTAGTCAAACATGTAGATAGTCTGACAGGTGTCAGATGAATTATATATTCCCCTATCTTTATAATTATTATTATCGAATGTTCATTGTTGTTGGGTTGTGTCAGGCTTTTAGTGTGGAAACATATTTACGTTGTGGTTAGGCTAATCACGTGTTCTTTATCTGAGTTGTGCTAAATTCCCGTTGAATAGACACTGAGAGGGGATCTAGTGTAGATATTCGTCCAAGGTAAATTAACGTCCCATACATGTAGACGCGGAAAATCAGCCGTTATAACAATAACCATAAAAGCTTCGAAGAGTTTGCATGAGTTTCATCATTAATATGCAACGTGGAATCCGATATATATGTGCATCGGTTCAAGTTACCATACCAGATTAGCATGACGAGATAAAATTATCAAGAAAAATGTCAGAATGCTAGGAGTAATAACAGTATCAGGAGTAATTTAAAAGCGATAAAAAGGTTTACGGAACTCAGCTTCCAAAGGAAGTCAGAAAGTTGGTGCACCTTCACCATTGCAAACGATTTTGAGACATCACACAAAGTCTCTGAGCAATGATTACAGTAATTAATTTGACTCATTCCAATTTCCAACGACATCACGGGTCGATGCAACGCCTTGATTTGGCCGCACCTTTCAGCTTACCTCCCACATCAGATAACATCACCCGTCGAGGTAGGGGGCGACTGTGCATACATAGCACATAGGTGTTTTAAATTAGGTGAGTAAAACTCTGTTGTAACTTTAAATTCAAAATTATTCGAAACATACTCGGAAATAATCTCCCCTCTGTCGTCCCAAGGTGAGAACCATGGCAAATACATGTAAATTGCTATATATCAAAGTACATACATCGGAAAAACAGAGAAAAGAGTACATCTTATTCCCGATAACGTTCCAACGAATTAGAGACTAGTATAAATAGCTCTAAACAGTGCAACGACTCCTAATATCACCGATAGCCGGGATATGATCAACTTTTACCAATTTTTCCAAATTATCAAAAGACGAAAAAAGCTCAACATCTTTAAGCTTTGCTGTAACACTAAACCGTAAAGAAATAAATATTAACTTAACACTACATCAGTAAATTCGTAACATTGATTAACATTGTTTTTAATGATAATAATAAATTATTACTCAGCGTATTTTGTTAACTAATCTTCGGGACTCGAATCAAAGACCTTCGAGCTCACGCAAAAGCTCGAGATCACTAAGCCGGCATTCAACAGTGTTAATGTCTAACTTTAACCAATTCACGATATCGTGCCACTATCTTTATATCTTTTTAATAACTAGCTTCGAGAGGTTATACTCGGAGTTCTAGTGAGAAGCCGTGACCAGTGGAGTAACGGGTGCGAGGTAGTCAACCGCAAAAACAATGGAAGATGGTTGCGCAATATTGTGGGTTGGTTGAAGTTACACACTGACACCTTTGGACGAGAGCCCAGTGATCCAGAGGTTAAGCTTTTGTGCGAGCTCGAAGGTCCTGGGTTCGAGTTTCACGTGTGGGATCGTGGATGAGCACTGTTGAGGAGATTCATACTAGGAAAAAAAGACTGTCTAGTGTTTCCGGTTTTTAATGGTGGACGTCAATAAAATATAAGTTGTTTTAAATCACGAACTGGTCTTAGGCAGACCGCCATTGAAAATCTGTAAGCACTAGATATATCAAAATAACCAAACAATATGTAAAAAGTCAGTCAACCAGCTACAACGTAGGACCAGGCACATATATGCATCGATTCAAGTTGCCATACCTCATTAGCACAACAAGATGAACACCGGATTCATAAAAGTAGTTAATTCAAAGGTGGTAATATATAAAAAAAAGATTGCATATAAGAATATAGTACAGGAAGAAAGAATTAGTTAGTAGAAAGAAAGATATCAAGCGATTTTAGTCTCTTAGTTTAAGGGAAGACAGGGAGTGCATACACCTACGCCATTGCGATCGATTCTGAGCCATGTCACCAAGAGTCTCCAACCATTGGTTACGATAGTCACGCGGAACACAACCAAGTAGTCTGTACCTACCAACAAGGTGAGGAACAAGTGCCGATGGACTGGAAAGAAGGACACCTTATCAAGATTCCTAAGAGAGGAGATCTGAACAAATGTGAAAACTACAGAGGCATTACACTACTTTCAGTAACCGGGAAAGTCTTTAACAGAGTGTTGCTGAACCGGATGAAAGACACAGTAGACGCCCAACTTCAAGATCAACAAGCTGGATTTCGTAAGGACCGATCGTGCACAGACCGAATCGCAACACTACGGATCATCGTCGAACAATCAGTTGAGTGGAACTCGCCACTATACATCAACTTCATTGATTATGAAAAGGCATTTGACAGTGTAGATAGGAGAACATTATGGGAACTTCTTTGACACTAGGGAGTATCTGAGATCGTAAATATCATCCGGAATTCATACAACAGACTACAGTGCAAAGTAGTGCATGGAGGACAGCTGAAAGATGCATTCCAAGTAAGGACCAGAGTCAGACAAGGCCGTCTACTCTCTCCCTTCCTGTTTCTTCTGGTGGTCGACTGGATTATGAAGACATCGATATCCGAAGGAAAACACGACATACAATGGACATCTCAGAACCAATTAGATGATTTGGACTTCGCAGATGACCTATCCCTCCTGTCGCATACACACGAACAAATGCAGACAAAGACAGCCAGTGTAGCAGCAGTCTCTGCATCAGTAGGCCTCAGCATACATGAGGAAAAAAGCAAGATCCCCAAATACAACACGGAGAACACCAATCCAATCACTCTTGATGGCGAAACTCTAGATGTGGAATCCTTCACATACCTGGGAAGCACCATCGATGAACAAGGAGGTTCAGATGCAGACGTAAAGGCGAGGATTGGCAAAGCAAGGGTCGCATTCCTACAATTGAAGAACATATGGAACTCAAAACAACTTTCAACCAATATCAAAGTCACAATCTTCAATACCAACGTCAAGGCAGTCAGTTCTATTGTACGGAGCTGAAACTTGGAGAACAACAACCACCATCAAGAAGGTACAAGTATTTATAAATAGTTGTCTACGCAAAATACTCAACATCCATTGGCCGGATACATTCAGCAACAGCCTTCTGTAGCAAAGAACAAACCAACTGTAGAGGAAATTAGGAAAATACGTTGTAAGTGGATAGGACATACATTACGCAAATCATCAAACTGAATCACGAGGAAAACCCTCACATGGAATCCTGAAGGGAAGTGGAAAAGAGGAAGGCCAAAGAACACATTACGTTGGGAAATAAAAGCAGATATGAAAAGGATGAATAACAACTGGAAGGAGCTGGAAAGGATTGCCCAGGACAGGGTTGGATGGAGAATGCTGGTGAGCGACCTATGCACCTTTCACGAGGAGTAACAGGCGTAAGTAAGTAGGTTTATTCTCTTTCGTTTAAACAGGTGCACAGTAGGGACTGAACAGAATGTTTTAATGCAGCAATTAATACACCATGGTGTTCTCCTATATCGATCATACAATGTTGTATCACTGGTCAATTTTACATAGAATTAAAATGTGACATAATACTAACATTGAAGTCAATTAATAAATCCTTTTTTTAGAAAACAATCAAACAAATTACCTCGGAATTCTTGTATACATTCACCAGTTAATACATTCCATAGACGTAAAGTTGTATCACGACTACCTGTAACAACTAAGTGACCAGTTTGAAAAGTTTGCTGTTGTTTCTCCATTTTAAACGTCGAAATAGACTCATTGTTTGATAGAATTGGATGAAACAATTTACTACTACCGTCACTGCTACTACTGTTGGCCTGATGAATATTGGAAGTTGTTTTTTGCGTGCTTTCATGACTAGAATTGGTTTGTTGTTTATGAAATATATTGTGAGTTAATTCTTTATCTGAATCATCATCTCCGACACCATCATCGTCATTATCATTATTAATAGTAGAATTAGAAGTATTATCATCAATACTATTACTATTATCATTAGTATATACAACTGTGGAACGATGATAACTGTTCGAATTGGTAACAACAAATTTTGGACTAGAATGTAACTTTTGACTAGCTAAACATCGAACAGTTGATTGATGTCCAAACAACGTGGCTACACAAGGCCAATGTTGACCATCTAATTGCCATACACGAGCTGTTCGATCACAACTACCAGATATAAGTAAAGGATGCTGAGATAATTGTTTTTGCTCTGACAGAAATAACAATTGACGTGGTATAACAGTCATTGACCAAACACCACCAAGGTGACCGAATAAATTAATTAAACACTGTCCAGTATTAATATCCCATATACAGATACTTGAATCATCTGACCCAGTGATTACCCATTCTTCATATACTTCTAAACAAGTGATGACATGATTCTACAATGAAAATATATTACAACTAATAAATATTAACGATTGAAACTACTACTCATCATAAGAAAGACAGAAGTATACATTCACAAAACACTGAACAAAGGGAAGAATATACTAACAAATTTTCAGCACAAAATACTTAAATAAAACAAAACTTTGAGCCGTATAAACAGTTTTCAAAAATCAAAACCTTCTCTACCTTCATGAGATTCAATAATAAACATTTACTAAGATGAAATATTTATCATGCCATTTCCTTTTCATAACTGACTTGTAACATAATACGTAATAATAACAACCACAATTTTCCACTGTTCTATACACTTCATTATGATGACTAAAGTTACGTATGCTCTAAAGAAATTTCGATTCATAAGTACATTAGTATACAAAACTTCATTAGTAAAGATAGACCCACATAAGATCCAGATGGGGACAACATTAATATTAGGATTTGAACAATGTATCGTTTCATTGACTGATCAGTATCAGTTTGAGATGATTTTCACTACCGACTTGAAGCAGTTGACCTATATCTGCCGTTATTAAATATAAATTTTTCGATGATACATACTTTTGGAATTGTAGTAAACTTTCACTGTTTGACATGATTACCATATTCTCATTTACAAGTGAGAAAGTTGTTGCACGTTAATATTACTAAAATTGTATCATTTTAACAAGAATGTTATAAATGACAATGTTGAAAGATCATTTTTCTGCAAATATTCATATATGAGATATGATTTCAAATATACTTACAATTGACTGACTTTCCAATATGACAATGAACAAGTTAGTAGCATGAAACGGCTGTTCAGCGCTTCCAGGATTTAAATGGTGGTTTTATTTAGCTCATAGTACTACTACTACTACGTGATTTAAACCATGAAAGTTCTACAATCTGTCCAAATTTCTCGATACTGTACATAATTATCATTCGATAAAATACAAACATTTCACTAGTATGAACAAGTGAAAATCTTTTTATTTTCAAAAATAATGTATAATTCGCATCTCATTTAACCATTTTATTCAATCTATTAAGAATTACATAATGTGTGGATAACAATCTGGTAAATTGTATTTTTAATTAGTGGTACCCATTGTTTGAGACTAACCTTATTAATAAAATGAGTAATACAGAGATATGAACGAAGAATATCCTTGAAGAGGAAGAATGTATTTCTAAAACGACATATATACTTCAAAATTGTGTTATTCGCACATTAGAAAGGTCAAAATGATTTGGAGTAAAGTGTCCAGTCACAATAAGTAGAATAGTATTATAGCAAAAATGAAAATGTAAAACAATTGTGTCAATAAGATGAATAGTAGGAGAATTTTATCTTGTCAATTGAGATAATATTATTAATGATATCACTGGTTGAAATCATGAGTCAATTGAAGCTGGACCACCATGGAAAACCTGGAAGCACTGGACGGCCGTTTCGTCCTAGTATGGGACTCCTCAGCAGTGCGCATCCAAGGAACCATATTTTTTCAACTAAATCCCTTAATGTGAGAAAAAATATATTCATGATTTTTTCATAAGGTCCAATGTGGAAATGTTCATTTACTTTTTCATAATAATAATTTTTCTATCTTTACGTAGCTGTTTTAGATAGATTAGGCGCGTTCGGTTTTTAATTCGACAATGCAACTGAGATTTTAAACCTCACTGAATTCGCTAATTCATCCGGAACACTGTTTAAGGCAGGCTCGATAAACGGAATAATTTCAGAAGCTAAAAAGTTTTGATTTAAATGTCTATCAGATAGATTCACCACTATTTTGTTTATACCTAGTTCCTTGGATTTGTTTCTAATCGCGTCATTATTGGATTTCGACGAATGTTGAAACATTAGTTCAAATTTTCTTACTTGACGGTTTTTTTGTAATTTGATCATAAAAGTTTTCTTTGTTTGAAAAATTCATTAATATTTGTTTTTAATTCTGTTGGTATAATTAATGATAAAACACTACCGATATTTTGCTATACGTGAACGTAGATAGTCCAAGTTTATAATGGATTTATGTATATGTTCCCTAAGAAATACACTTGTAGCTGTAACTATTCGATCAAATTTAGACAAAAGTTCTTATATATTATTCTGCAATCGCATCAAATTATCGAAAATGTACGACTGGTATAACCACCGAATTCTCAATCCACGTTGTTTAAATAATCATGTTTATCCAAAAACGTTAGGAGTTAAGACTCCGGGCAATTCACCACGTTCACAAAAAGCAGCTGTTACAGCTACAAGAGTATTTCTTAGGGAACGCATGAAATTAAATGTAGTGACTGTAATGCAGCGTATGTAGGTGAAACATCAAGACAACTGAATGTGAAGGTGAAGGAACACAAAATATGCTTGAAGCACATCCCTAAATCCTCAGATGATGTAATAAAACTCGAGAACAAATCAGCGATAGCATTACACTCGATAGAATCGGGTTATACAATTGATTTCAATGACACAAGGAATGCCTTAATTCTTACAAAGAGAGGCTAACAACCGAAGCCCTATACATATGGTTAAATCCAAACAGCATTACTACGAGGTGGAATACAATTAGCTGTCCCATGGCAACTGATAGTTAATATGTAAACCTGAACTCCTTATTCCATTTTATCTACCTCGTATTATCTGAATAACAACAATTACATTCAACGGTTCTAATCAGTTACCTTATCTGAATGTCTTAAACAATTAAGTGGAACATTAAAATAACACAAACATTCACTTGTTGTTTACTTGTATCTTACGATTGTTATTTAGGACTGCAATTGATCAGTCCCTTGTTGGCATATGTGCATCCTGTGTGGATGACCTCGATATTGCCTGAAGTCACAAGCTACACAAACATTCAATTACAAATACATTCTTCCTCTTTGAATTCATTCCTTTATCTCGTTTATTTCTTTTCATTTTATGTATGCTGTGACATTTTTGATTCATATCATTTATAAAAATTATATGTTTTCTTAGTATTCACTGATCGAAGACAATATATAATGAATGAAATTTCTTCTTCTCACTTATGTATACACACAATCTGTTATCTTAACACTTTTCGCTTCACGCCACATGTCTCCTACACACTAATATAAATACCTACTTTAAACATTGTTAAGGTTGATTGGATGACCTATTCAGTATACAATGAACCGGAGAACCGTGTACCTATTTATATTCGATAATTTTGATGTTTGACTATATTTCATTGAAAAAGATGGGATCAGATTACCAGGCGAAACGTTGGATTTACTTCAACTTCATTCTGAGATTTTACAAATAGTTTAAAAATCCCCAATAGAATATTCAAAAAAAAAGAATATTTGAGCGAACAATTGTTTTCAATAACTTCATCATCAGGCTCTGCAGTTATAAATCCATAATTATAATATTTTACAAAGGCCAAAATAAGGCATGTATTAATGAATTTGACAATGTTGTGTTAAAAATAGTGAAAGTTTGCAATATTATAAACATCATACCCCCTCTTTTTTATTGCCTCTATCCTAATCTTCATATCCATCATTCCCAATTCGTTTATCGTAATTACATTGATAACACCCCCCCTATTACATATTATATTCTGATAATAATCATCTGCTCACTAGTGACTGACTTCAAGAGATACTCCTGGAGTTCTAGTGAGAAGCCGTTACCCGTGGAGTTCAACCAGGTCGGTTGTGAGTTACCAACTCACTGAAGACAATGATGTACGGTGGCGCAACTTCGTGGATTGGTTGAAGTTAGAAATTAACACCTTTGGATGACGGCTCAGTGGTCTATTGGTTAAGTGCTCGCACGCGAGACCAGTAGGCCCTAGGTTCGAATCTCGCAAGGGGCGACGTCGTAGATTCTCACTGCTGAGGAGTCCCATACTAGGACGAAACGGCCGTCCAGTGCTTCCAGGTTTTCCATGGTGGTCCAGCTTCAATTGACTCATGATTTCAACCAGTGATATCATTAATAATATTATCTCAATTGACAAGATAAAATTCTCCTACTATTCATCTTATTGACACAATTGTTTTACATTTTCATTTTTGCTATAATACTATTCTACTTATTGTGACTGGACACTTTACTCCAAATCATTTTGACCTTTCTAATGTGCGAATAACACAATTTTGAAGTATATATGTCGTTTTAGAAATACATTCTTCCTCTTCAAGGATATTCTTCGTTCATATCTCTGTATTACTCATTTTATTAATAAGGTTAGTCTCAAACAATGGGTACCACTAATTAAAAATACAATTTACCAGATTGTTATCCACACATTATGTAATTCTTAATAGATTGAATAAAATGGTTAAATGAGATGCGAATTATACATTATTTTTGAAAATAAAAAGATTTTCACTTGTTCATACTAGTGAAATGTTTGTATTTTATCGAATGATAATTATGTACAGTATCGAGAAATTTGGACAGATTGTAGAACTTTCATGGTTTAAATCACGTAGTAGTAGTAGTAGTAGTAGTAGTAGTAGTACTATGAGCTAAATAAAACCACCATTTAAATCCTGGAAGCGCTGAACAGCCGTTTCATGCTACTAACTTGTTCATTGTCATATTGGAAAGTCAGTCAATTGTAAGTATATTTGAAATCATATCTCATATATGAATATTTGCAGAAAAATGATCTTTCAACATTGTCATTTATAACATTCTTGTTAAAATGATACAATTTTAGTAATATTAACGTGCAACAACTTTCTCACTTGTAAATGAGAATATGGTAATCATGTCAAACAGTGAAAGTTTACTACAATTCCAAAAGTATGTATCATCGAAAAATTTATATTTAATAACGGCAGATATAGGTCAACTGCTTCAAGTCGGTAGTGAAAATCATCTCAAACTGATACTGATCAGTCAATGAAACGATACATTGTTCAAATCCTAATATTAATGTTGTCCCCATCTGGATCTTAAGTGGGGTGAACCTGTATGCGGAAATTACGAATCACATAAGGAATT